ATCTGTTGGGGTCTCTGGAGTAGAAGGCCATAACCTGCACAGTTTGAAAATGAATGCTTAATAAATAAATACGGTAGTGGAAATTATTAAAAGAAAAACTTCTCAAAGTTTTCTTGGCTGGTGGCAATATAAGAATATAGTATATGGGGCAAGGATTTAAAATGTCAGAACACACTGCTTTCTAGAGGGCCAGAGAGTAGTACATTGTTCTTGTGAAGATTTCATGAGATAAAAAGTATGACGCATTTAGCATAGAACCCAGAATTATAAAAATAAATCATTATTATCATTATTATTAAATATGATGTGTGATCTCTTTTCTAAATCTCATATTATGTGTAATATGGCAGCTTTCTGGGATTATATTTATGTATATACAATTGATCCTCATTGTTTATGGATTCTATGTTTTTAAGTTTTCCTGTTAAATTTATTTGTAACCTCAAATCAATGCATGTGCTTTCAAGATCGTTTGTGAACATGTACAAGCAAAGTTTGAGTCACTGGGTGCATAATTTTCCAGCTGAGGTCAAACAGGTTGTCACTCTGTCTTCTTGTTTTAGCTCCCAGTCTATAAACCAGTGTCCTTTTTGATACCTGTTTATTGTCATGGTTTTTGTATTTTTATGCTTTCTATTGGTGATTTTACTGTTTAAAATGGCCCATGGGCTTAGTGGTGAGCTTACTAAGCACAAAAGGCTGTGATGTACCTTATGGAGGAAATATGGATGCTAGAGAAGCTCTGTTCAGACATGGGTTGTGGTGCTGGTGGCTGAGTTCAAGGCTGAGTCAATTGTATTCATTAAATAAGTTGTCTCTAAACAGAAACACATGAAACAAGGTTATATACTCATTGGTTGATGAAAATGTGACCAGAGGCTTCCAACAGCCTAAACCTGTATTTTTCCTAAGAGTTCGGTACTCGCTGTCTCGGTGACTTTACAGAACATAACCGTGAATGAGAACTGGCTATGTTTTCCATGTATTAGAGGTATCCAGAAGGGGCCCAACAAATAATCCTCCTCCTGCTTGAATTCTGAACTCTATGAGGAACATGACAAAGGAATTAACAGACAGAGGCCAAAAGAGAATCTTTATTGATAAAATCAAAGTTGAAGAATGTGTATGTTCAGGAGACAGATGGCCTTCCTAATACTGAACCCAGAACTGGACTTAACCCATTAACCTGTTGTGGAAGAGAAAGGAGGGGATGTATCTGTGCATGCCAGATTCTTGCTTCCAAACTCTCCAGTCACAGAAGTGCCTCAGCGAGGAGTGAGCAAGGGCAGGGGGAGGCAGGGTGTTACCCTAAATAGTAAGGGTAGGAACCAGCCCGCCAGCCCCTCAGAGTACTCACACAGTAACACCCCATTGATTGGTTGAATAAGCAGTTTGTGGTAAGATAATAATGACTTTATGTTTATTCCCCCAAATCCCTTTAAAATGTGTTCAGTGATGATATTATTTCCATGCCTCTGGATAAAAGCCTAGGCAGGTCACATTACTTTTCCCTCATCCTCAGGTAACAGCTCTATTTTAAATCAGGGAGCCCTTCTCCCTCTTCAAAAGGAGGACTTCTCTTTCTATTCTGGATGCTCTTTGTAGGTGACAGCTGGCAGTCTTTTCTCTTCCTGGCTCTGCTTCTCTGAGCTTCTCTACTGCCGCCTCAGTCTCCCCAGGTTGGCTGGTGAATGGGGAAGGGAGAGGCAGTGGGAGAAGCAGGGACTTTCTTACTTGCTGTTTGTGGCCTTATGTTCTCTCACCCCAGTGGATGTCTGAAGCTGATGATTTCCCTGGGAGCACTTTTTTGAGTTGGTTGGAGGCACCTTTTCTGGGCCATCCACTGCAGCTCCCGTGGGGTGGGGTGACCCATTTGTTGTGTTTCATCTGGCTCATGGTGACACTCAAATTCCTTTGCTCCCAGGCTCTGGGAGTGTTGGCTGATTCTGACACAGCCTCCTCTAGCTTGCTGCTGTGGGTTACTGTGACCTCTCAGGCTTGTGCCACTCTCAGGCACTCACTGCCCTCCCCACTGCAGGGAGCACACACCTGACTCTGGGTGTGGCTCCCTTGGCATGATGTTAGAAGCCCTCACCTGCTTTTTCTTTTCTGTAGGGTAGGGACCTACAGCATGGCCCAGTATTCTCTACAGCACACTTAGAATTATCCCTTCCCTCCTTGGATCCTTTACTATTTGATACAGAGTTCCTTGAGGGGATTAGGAATTGTTAGAGTTCTCTGTGGATTCTGCATGTGCTGTTCTCTGTCACATTCATATCAGTGTCTGGTATCTGTTGATTCCATGTCTCAGTTAATACTGAGGCAAAAGGAGTTCTATATTATCCTGTTACATATATGGATATATGTCAGCCTTAGCAGTCTGAAAAAATTAACATGATTACAAAGATGTTGGGTGAACTGATGTTTAGTTAAATAATTAATAAGCTTTGGCAGTTCAATATTTCCTTAGAAATCAATATTTCCAATGGATAATTCTAAGCACAAATGGGAAAAAGGCATGTTGGACCTTGTGACCTTCCTTTTCCTGAATGTTACTCCTTATAACTCAAATTCCTTTGCTCCCAGGCTCTGGGAGTGTTGGCTGATTCTGACACAGCCTCCTCTAGCTTGCTGCTGTGGGTTACTGTGACCTCTCAGGCTTGTGCCACTCTCAGGCACTCACTGCCCTCCCCACTGCAGGGAGCACACACCTGACTCTGGGTGTGGCTCCCTTGGCATGATGTTAGAAGCCCTCACCTGCTTTTTCTTTTCTGTAGGGTAGGGACCTACAGCATGGCCCAGTATTCTCTACAGCACACTTAGAATTATCCCTTCCCTCCTTGGATCCTTTACTATTTGATACAGAGTTCCTTGAGGGGATTAGGAATTGTTAGAGTTCTCTGTGGATTCTGCATGTGCTGTTCTCTGTCACATTCATATCAGTGTCTGGTATCTGTTGATTCCATGTCTCAGTTAATACTGAGGCAAAAGGAGTTCTATATTATCCTGTTACATATATGGATATATGTTAGCCTTAGCAGTCTGAAAAAATTAACATGATTACAAAGATGTTGGGTGAACTGATGTTTAGTTAAATAATTAATAAGCTTTGGCAGTTCAATATTTCCTTAGAAATCAATATTTCCAATGGATAATTCTAAGCACAAATGGGAAAAAGGCATGTTGGACCTTGTGACCTTCCTTTTCCTGAATGTTACTCCTTATCTGTGAACTCTGATATCTCTATATTCCCCATCATTTATCCCAGTGGCTATCACCATCACCATCTACCCCCCCACCACAACCATCACCACCATCACCACTACCCGATGACCACCAACACCAGCATCCCATCACCAGCACATCACTACCACCACCACCACCATCACCACTACTATCACCATCACCACCATCATCACCATCACCATCACCACCACGACCACCACCACCACCACCACCAGTACTAGCCATCTTCACCACCTCCACTACTCTAGAAGACTTTATCTGAACAATATCTAAAGTTTGGAGGCAGAAGAGTTTAGTTGGGAAGTAGGGCAATTGGATGCATTAGCAAAAGTCATAGAGATGAAACTCAAAGTGTGGCCCTGTACTTAATCCCCTAGAATAGTAAGCTTTCATTCCAGTGCCCAGCTTTCTGTACATTGTCTGAGCCTGTGTTTTAGCCAAAGCAGATGTAAGCTAAAGGCAAGAAGAGATAACAGATGCTGCTTAGAAAGGCAGTCACAGCATGATGTCTGCAGGAAGAACATGGCTCTTAAGAGTTAAGGCCATATGGGTTTGGATCTGGCTCTACTTACCAGCTGATCACCTCTGGGAAAGAACCTAAACTTCTCTGACCCTCAGTTCCTCATGTGTAATATACTGATATGATGCCTGCCTTGCTGGTTTGTTGTGAGCATGAACTACAGTCACATGAGGACCATGGCCAATACCATTAGACTTTCAACAAATATTACATTATTAAACCTGTGATCATTTCAGAGCGTTATTCTCTAAAAAAAATGAAGTATGAAAAGGTATACAGATAAGAGCCTCTCTCTCACCCCTGACTCCACCCACCCATCTGGAAGATTGTGCTAAACCATGAAATGAGCTACTAATAGCATTAAGGTGTCACTTGTCCCTGATTACCTAGTAGTGATGTTGCCTACCAGACAGGATGAACCAGAGAATACACAGTTGTGCTGGAGTAAAGAGACTCCACAGCTCTAAACTATAGCCACACCTTGTAAAAGAACAGAGAACCTCTTTCCATTCATGAAGTAAATAACCATTTTCACTTTTGTATCCATAGTAACTGGATTTTTCAGTGTGTTAAGGGATGCAGTGATACAAATCAGTGTTAGTTGTCAATCATTTTGGTGCTCTTGACAATAGGAATTTTCTCCTCTGTTTCACTGCCCAGGAGGTCATGTGACATATTCCATGATTATAAGAAAGGACATCTATCTTAAAAATCAATAGTCTTTTTCAGGAAATTAATATGGTTTCTACTGAGTGCTTTATAACCCTGTGTTCCCTGCTGTCTACATCTGAGCCCATATCTGTCTGACAGCATGGCAATGGTGGGCTTAATGTTGATCTGGTATCATTACAGATATTAGATTGTGTTCAACATACAGAGCTCAAACAAGCCAGATATGCTGGTAATAAAGAAGTTAAGACTCAATTACCTAGGAAATTATTATTTAAGATAGTTCAAAGTCTGTGAGGTACCCAGGTAGATGATATTTACTTGAATTAGAAAGTGAAAATAACCAGTGGATTTATCATTAGGAATTCAAAAAAAAATATCTGAATACTCTAAATCTTTAATTTGTAGAAATAACATAAAAAAGACATGTTAGTTTACATAACTATATTGTAACTTTTATTTTTAAAAATCCCTTGGCACTGTGATATTTGGGTTTTCTGCTGAGTAACAAGCATGAGTTTGGAAGTAATTGCAACATCTTCACAAAGTGGCTTCTGCTCCTCAGGGTTATTGAACAGCTTGGTGGGAAGCAGCTGGTGATGAACCACATGCACCACGAAGACCAGCAGGTTCGCTACAACGCTCTCCTGGCCGTGCAGAAACTCATGGTGCACAACTGGTACGTGCTGGCTCCTGCCTCCTGCCCCACACTGCTCTGCAAGGTCTCACTTGCCCATTCCAAAGTGCTCTTTCTTACACAAGTGCTCTCATGTATGATAGTATTTAAGTCAGTGATTTTGATTAAATATCTAGAATATATTATAGTAATTCAGAGCAATGACATGATAACTTGAAGACCAGCTGCATTAAGGTTCTATAGAAATGTATTTTCAGAGTTCTTATATCAAAAACAACTCCAGAAGTAACCAAAAGGACAGTTGTGACATAAAGGAATCCGTTCTTTTGAGTTAAATGAAATACAGTTGGATTACTGGTGAGAGGCTTTACAGTTTGGCATGATTTAACTGTTTAGCATGTGGTTAACCTGAATGAATTTACCAGTTCACATGAAAACACTAAAACTCTTTTGATCAATTAAGATTCAGCTCTTACACTTAATTCTTTTTTTTTGATATCATAAATATACAATCACATGAGCAACATTGTGGTTACTAGATTCTCCCCATTATCAAGTCCCCACCACATACCCCAGTACAGTCACTGTCCATCTCTCACACTTCATTCTTACAGCCTTTGCTTTCGAAGTAATCAGCGTCATGTTTTTATCTTTGTTTTTTTATTTTTTAACTAAAAATTTTACCTACTTAAAACAAGATAAATTAAAAGTGACTGCTTAAGTATAATGGTCAGCCTTTCCTGTCCATGTAGAGCAAACACTCTGCCATGGCTATTTAGCTAGCTGTAGTGGGGTGGAAGTGCTTCCAATGCTCTTCTGAACAGTTCAGGTGCCTCTCTGTTCCCCCACCCTCTGGAAGGATGCTCTGGCATTGGACTAGTTTGTTAAGGCACAGTGGACAAATATATATTCCAAGAAGTGACAGCATTGCTACCAGTATTCCCAGAGGAAAGACTTAATGATGCACGCAAAGGTGAACATTTGAAGGATGCAGGCAGATCGTGTAGAGGATGCTGGCAGATCATGTAGAGGAGACCCTCCAGGAGTGCTGCTATGGCATCATATGTGAAATATTACAATGCTGCCACTTAAGAACTTTCCCATAAATACTGACATTTATGCATTCTTTCAAGAACTACTTTTTTGAGCATTTGCTTTGTACCTTGTTATGTTAAATGCCAGGCTCTAGATATGATGGAAATGGGTGCAGCTTTACATAGGATGAGTAGAGAAGACTGCCGAGTAAGCCATAACGGCTGAGTTGAGACAATGATAAGGAACCAGCTGTACAGGTATTGGGGGGCAGCGCACTGGTGGCTCAGGTATTGGGGGCATTTCAGTTAGAGGGAAATGAGAGGGAAAGGACCAGGAAGCTTGGCTTCTTTAAAAGCAATGTTTGGAAACATATTTGTTATGGTGACTGGGGGTAATGGTACTGCTGGCACCTCATGGGAAGAGTACCCTCAGGGATGCTGCTGAACATCCTGTGGACAGTTCCCAGAGCAGAGGACCATCCTGCCCAATATGTCAATAGTGCCAAGGCTGAGAGACTCTCATTTGAGGGATGGGTTGTGGGCTAGGGTGGAAGAAGATAGGCGAGGAGAGGTTGGCAGGGATCCAGTCACATAGGGTCTCTCTAGGCTATCATTTGACTCTTTTATGAATTTGAAAGCCATCGAAAGGTTTTTAAATGGGGGAATGACAGGATTTGATACATTTTAAAAAGATTGCTTAGGTTACTCTTCCGAGAATGAATTATACTGGGGTAAGTGTGAAAGCAAGGAGAGCGTTTTAGGAGGCTCTCATTGTGTTCTAGAGTAGAGATGGTTAGTGGCTTGGCCTAGAGTCTACAAGTTGAGATAAAAGTTGATGGACTTGGCATAGATTACAGAGCTGGTGCTGGCAGCACTTGATGGACTGAAAGCATTTTTATGTTTTCTTTATTTCCTTAGTGCAAGAAGAATGTGATCAAAGCAGAGGGCACTCAAAAATGATTCTTATCTATTCAGCACGAACAAAAAAGCTTTCAAGTCTGTCAGTAAAATATAGAATACTCAACTGGGTTTCTCTCCTTGTTTCACATTACCCTAAGTGACATTTTTCAAGATAAACTAACTACTTAGTGCTTTTATGTCTCTTGGTTGGTTTTATGTCTCTTTCATGAAATTAGTTTAAACAATGTTGGCATCTAATAGAGTTCGAGGCTGTAGCAGTTAGCTTATATTTGCCAGATGTTTCTGTAAAGTCTCTGTGAAACTGTTTTATTTTCCCTTCTTGTTGAAATTAGGGTTCCCAAAGTATAATTCCTATTTTTTTCATTTAAAAAATTTCATTTTAATAGTTCTTCTTCTTGAAGAATTTATTGTTGGATTTAGCTTTTTTTGTTTTAATGTATGTTTCTGATGTACATTATCAGAGAAGATGATAAGAAAGAAAAGGTGGGTATGAAGTAAGAGGTTGACCTTTTCCCTTTGCCAGTGGAGAAAATTTTTTGGTTCAGAAGTTTTGTTGCTCAAATGATCATGTATTGAAGATGAAACTTATAAATTTGAATTTTTACCCTTGAGTTTAGGAACTTGATTTCATCTTGTAATATGTTTTTCAGTATATGATTACAAAAGTAAAAGTAAAAGACTTTATAGCCAGAGACTGGTTTTTCACTCTTTATCATTGACTAGATGATAAGAGAATACCCTTCCCTCCTCCAGTTATGTGCCAAGCTATTTTAACTTTAATGTTTTAATTAAAAGTCCCCTATAATGGAGAAATGTAATGTCAGTATTTCCCTACACTTTATTTATAAAGAAATTTTCATATGAAGAAAGATTAGAATATACATGTGACCTATATGTGTTGTTCTTACATATACATTTCCATGTGCTAGAGAATGAAAATTGCTCAAGTAAAAGCAATTTATTTCAAAATCAATTAATATCTGGACAAACAGAATACTAAAGTAAATCTGCACAGTATATACTAAAATGTAAATGAATTTTGAATCAATATCTTTATTCAGGTAATCAAGTTGTCTTTTATTAAATCATTCTGATAAAGACTGCCTTTCTACTTATCAAAAATAGAGGCTTTTTTATCTAAAATATAGTATAGGTGTTCTAAAGATATGCATTGACTGAATCTTAAAGTCTGTGGGAATTGTCTATTTTCACACCAGATGAAAACAGGAAAACAGTTTTTATTTTTTCCAGTTCATTTTGGTTTCTCTAGGAAACATTTTGTTTGTTTTAAGATGAGTTTTTATAAATGATGCATTTTAATACTATATAGTGAAGTAAATTGGTTGAAAATAATTAAAATGTAACTATGGATAAAAGTAGAACAAAAGTTGGCCTGAACATTGGTGACATTTTTGCATGTTGTTTGGTCATTGTTTTGTTCCTAGGGCATACTTTCAGATTTCTAGCACATTCTGGACTTTAAAAATTTCTTCTGCCCTAAATGATTTTTAGATTTTGGTACACATTTTTTCTAAAGTATCTATTTATTTATTAGACTAAGTCATAATTTTGGATATAGTAAAGTTAACATTTATTTTTTGCAGGGAATTTTTTTTGGTTTTAAATATAAGTTGAAAAGTATATTTTAAGTATAAATTAGATACTTAAATCATAGAACTGGGCTGTCTATGATTCTGATTTTAATTCTCTTTTAAGGCGTTAAATATTATGTTTTTGATAATGTAGAGATGGACTTGAGTTTATATAAGATGGACTATAGAGTTATATATATCATGTGAAAATACTTTTCATGATTCTATAATTGATGTCAAAATTGCATCCATGAACTGCAAGTCTTAGAGTGGCTAGTGGTTCTTTCCTTCCAATTGTCATGAGTATTTACGTGGAATACTAGATCACCAAGTCCCCTAACTGATGTGGGTAGGAAGTGGTGGCGGGGCAGGAAGAGAGGGACTGTTGACAGATGGCCTTCTCAGTTTAGGAGGCCTCGAGCAGGTCATTCCTGCTCATAGTCCTCCTCTTAAATGACATCGAGCAGCTCTCTGATCTTCCCAGACCCACTGTGCATTCCTGGTGCACCTTTTGTTCTTTGAGCCATGCTGGATTTTTATGTTCAGAAATTTGGCAAAATACATAAACAACAACAGTTTACTCTAGAGAGCTCTTATATATACCCTCAGTTTAAACTTTATAATTTAACATCATAAAATGTCATCATTTTCCTCCTACAGAATGATTTTAAATGTAATCAGCCTCTAATTCAGAAGCAACCATATGTTGCATATGGACAGCTCAGGACTTCAGGAAAGAAACATTGAATTTTGTAGGAAGAGGATCTCATGTAGAATTTTCTATCTGTTTCTAGATTCTTTTTCAATCTTTTAGAAGCAGAATAATAAGTTATAAGAGTGTTACCCTTTCTAGGTCTGTTATGTATAGGTAAATAACATAATAGAAGAACTCACCAAGCCAAGTATATGGGTGACACTGCTTTGTTCTATGATGTTTATGTCTGCTTACGCTACTTTAGTTATTCTGTAAGTACACAGCCATAAATACAATGATTAAAATAGTTATCTATGAACTGAAGAAAAAAACTTCATGTGTGTTAATCTTTTAGCATTAGTGATCATGTTACTAAAACATTCTGTATGATTTTTCAAGAAACATTTTATAATTTAACACTAAACATTTAATAAACATTTCCAGAATTTAGAAAATTTTGATCTCTTTTTGTGTGCCTAGAATTTTCCACATTATTCTTATGACATTTTCAGTGGAAGAACCTTTGAAAATATCTTTAGTACCATATGTTTTGTGTATGTTTCAATAAAAGATATAACTAGATTTTTAAAAAATATCAAAACCAATTCCAAGCAAAGAGGAATTCTTAATAGCTGTGTGTCACCATCAGTTGAGCAGCCCCCAGTCTCCAGTCTAACATTGCTTCTACTCTGCTTCTTAGAGATATTTTGAGGCTATACTAACATCTTATTTTTCTGGGCACTATGTGCCACTTAATTACAATTAATTTGGAAATGTCAGCACAATATAAATCCTAGAGCA